ACATAAACAACAGCAGAATCAAACACAAATAAAGAAAACTGTTAGACCATTATACAACATTTATTTACACCGCAATGCATGCTGGGATATTTGTACAGTGCCACTCCCAGCATGCATTGCAGCATGAAACATTTGAGATGTTACCATTGTTGAAATACAAGGTCAGATTCATGAGGTCTGAGTGTGTATTTGTCATAACTGAACTGTTTTTGTATGTTATTTCTTGACTGTTAAGCATTTACGGAGGTATCTTCTTTTTCCACTTCTCATTAATTACATTAATACCTGCAACTAAGCATAAAATCTATTGCATGAAGCCCTTCATCCAGATTTATACCAAAACATTTATCAGAACTAATTTCAGATAAATAGATTTCTCTATTTATTGACTTCCCAACTTTATTGCTATAGTACAAACGTTTTGTAAACTCTGTATTCAAGCAGATGGAAAGTCTTCTTAAATGAGTTCAAGGGTGAAGAGCCCAACTAAACCAGCCCCTCACTCCATTACGGTGACACAATAAAACACCTTAATTTCTGTTGGATCTCAATGAGAATTGTATGGAAGTCAAATCAGTCAGTAATAAGTGTGTGTCTGCTGTTGTTTGTGGAGTTGTTTAATGATCCTCTGCTGAGACTGAAGCTGTTTTATTTTATTTGATTTTATTTAATGTTGTAACTCAAGTCACTGTTTGTGTTTCTTGTTTATTTTCTTCAGTAATTGGGATTATTAACAGCAGGTGTTCATCAGTGTCTGAATTCACTCATTAGTGTTCATTAAAACTGTCAGGTGAACTATATTAGTTAACTAGTGTATGAAATAGTGAACAAGGACACAAAGCGTGATTTCAAACACACACTTCAAAACATCGAATCTGAACTCTGTTAGCTCACAGTTTTCTGCAGTTGGTTACTTTCTCGAAAACAAAAATGTTACCCAGAAAGCCCTGTTTTTAACAGAATATTACTGTTTTAGTGAAAAAACATTATTTTACCGTAGAATCTGACCGTTTTTTAACAGCAATTTTTTACAGTGTAGCCTAAAATATCCACTGTACTGTCAAAAACGAATTAAAACCCCTTGTGAAAAAACAACTCAGTTTTCTGACCACACTTCTATATTATTGCTTATTTATTCACTTGCTGGAAATTAGAATTGAATTTAGAAGTAGTTTGGAAAAATTTTTTGCACTTTGCAAACAAAAATAACTATGTAGGCTCATGGATGTCTTCAGTGGAGTGTGTAACACCGTTTTCTTATCAAAAGATATTTAAGTGGCAGTTCTTTAATAATAGATAAGTGGGATGTAGATGTGGAGATTTATACATTTTTTTAAATTCAAAACATATTAATTTGAATTATTTTATAAGTCTCGAGCACCACTGTAGACACCTGAAAGTAAAAAAAAAATAAATACAAAGTGAACTTATTTGTAAATATTGTTATTTATGCTTTGTTTCAGGCAGCAGAAAGACAACTGGACGATAGAGAACGTGACTAGGAGACGCACACAAACACACAAGGACACAGCATATTAAAACATAAATTGTTTAACAAATGCTTTATGTTCTCTGCCAATAAAGCGAATTTTAGTAACATTTTATTGATTGAGCTCTTTCTGTCTCTTACATTCAGGACAAGAAAATAACATTCTGTGAATGTCCTTAACACCAGCAAGCATGTTATGAGAACGTTGTGAGAAGGTCAAATTTTCCAATAAGGTTTGGTCCCCTAAACATTCTGAGAACGTTCTGAATGTTCTGTAAAGGTCCCCCAAATAACTTCCTCAAAACCTTTAAAGAACTCAACATTGTGACATTCTCAGAACAACCTTAACACCGACGGGGACGTTCTAAGAACGTTCTGGGAACGTAAAATTTCTAGCTGGGGATATTGTCCATGTTTGGCCCTTATATGGAAGCTAAACTTGGTCCAATGTGTTCACTGTTTTCGCGGTCTCCCGAGTTCATTCTTCCGAAGTGACCTGGAAAGACCGGTCTTTACAAGAGTGCAAGTCCGTTCTCTGCATTCTTGGAGTTGAGAAACAGCCCATGTTTCCATCTTTAATTTGTTTCTTACAGTCACATCATGTGATTTTACAGGTCAGAGTTCACCAAGCTTGAACTCTGCATTGCAGCGAACTGCAAAACTTGTTGCATGACTTTGTGTTTCCAGCCTGTCACATTCGAGTGCATCTAAATGGAGAACAGTGCAGTATGAACGCGGCTTAACTTTGCTGCTGAGTTACTTTAACTGAATTTAGAGTGGGACCAAACAGACTCTGAGCTGAGGAAATGTTACTCAGAGGATTTAGCTGTTTCTGAGAGTCAGATGATCATTTGCACCTGTTGCTCGTTACTCTACCAGCTCAAAAACATGTCTGCCATCCTGAGCCTGATGGCAGAGTGATGAAGTTCTGTTCTGCCTCACTGTAGTGTTGCTGAAAGTACCAGAGATCGTTACTGTGTGAAACTTAGAGCTTACAGCTTATTGTAATCTTTTAGAAGAGCTTTATCATTGTTATTGTGATCCTTCTCTCTATGTGGGAAGCTGTGGGGATTTGTCACAAATCCCGACTGAACCCAATAGCAAGTGAACAGGGAGTTTATTAATTCTCAAGAGCCTGAAACAGTAGCAGGACATTAATAGTTTGTGAAACTGAAATAGCTGTCAACAAGTGGATGCAAGGAAAGTCCAATACAGAGAAGAAATTCAGCTTCAGGAAGCGAACTCGTCACTAACAGAACTCAGCGAGGACAGCCTGACAAGACACAAACGCGAACAACAGCAAACTGACAATGTGAAACAGAAGCACCGACTAGATATAAGCATAGTGTAATGCAAATCAGCTGTACCATACTGATGAGTCAGCGGAGTAGTGCTAAGCAATGAGGAATCACCAGTGACAACAATACCAAGTGACCGCACAGACGCTAACGACAAACACAGAACATCAGCCTACCACATACCCCCCCACACACACACACACATACACACATAACTAAGAAAGAACACACAGACCCACAACGTGCGTTACTAAGATTGTACCTAGTACAGTATTACCAAACTTGGAAAAGTGATATTATATTTCTGCATTACAGCAAAATCTAATATATTACATTAATTGCTTTACTTTTGAAATGTGTTAGTCTCAACAGTAATATTAAAGCAGAGCAAAAGCTTCTACTGCTGATAGATAGATAGATAGATAGATAGATAGATAGATAGATAGATAGATAGATAGATAGATAGATAGATAGATAGATAGATAGATAGATAGATTTCAAACCTTTCTCAGGGCAATAACCTGCTCTAGAAACTATAAACCACCTCAATCCAGCAAAACTTCTTGTCCTGCCCAAAACTGACTACACATCATATCTTCATGATCAAACAGTCTTTGGTGAGTTTCCTCTGGGTGCTCCAATTTCCACCACAGCCCAAACACATGCGCTATAGAGAAATTGAGTAAGCAAAATTGCCTGTAGTGTATGAGTGTGAATGTAAGAGTGTATGGGTTTCCCAGTACTGGGTTGCAGCTAGAAGGGCATCCGCTGCGTAAAACATATGCTGGATAAGTTGGTGGTTTATTCCGTGGTAGCAACCCCTGATTAATAAAGGAACTAAGCCAAAAATAAAATAAATGAATAAATGTACTTTTGAGAATGATTTTCCTTACTTTAGAATCTGTTGCTAGAATTTGTTACTTTCTTTTCTGCTTTAATTTTGAGAAATGTCATGATCTCTGAAATGTACAGGTTTAATAGTATTTAGACAAATAAAAGTGTATAAATGATGCAAAACAGGTGACAGTTGTAGCCACAGCAGTTGTTTATCATCTGCATCAGTTAAAGCAGAAACACTTCAGACAAACAAATGGAACCGGTCTCACTGCTGAAACTCTTCAGGGTTTTCAGCTCATGTATCTATCTACACATAAGATTGTGTGACTCCACTGTAAATAAACTAAATGCATTCATGAATACTGATATTGCAGTGCGAGTTTTCTGCATTCTGTAGCTTCTGTAAGGGTGCACTCACACTATGCTATCTGTACTGTGCCAGGGCTGTTTCCCTGTACGTTTGAGAAGTTTCAATGCTCTGAATCACGTTAAAGTGGCTGATTTGTTCGGCGAATTATATGATTGTGTGTCACTGCATATCAAACAATTAAAATGATATACTAAAGAAATGTCTACTGTGCTAATCGAGAGGACAGTGGACACATATTTAAGTATCAGAATGAGAAGGTTTTTGCTTTCTGTGATCCTTTTCCAGAAACACACTCTACATTAAAAGGTGTAAATGAAATCATTAGAATGTCTTTAGCTCAGCAGTAAAGTCTCAGTAAACACAAAGAGATGATCCACGGATAATCAGACGACACTCATAGATGGTATAAAGTACAGAAAGAAAAAACTCTCACCTCAAACAATGCCTGCCGATCTGTCTGTTCCTCCGCTGAACTGTTGAGCTGAACAACAAATCTGAAAATTCTTTCACCTCTGGAAAACACAACAAACCTGTTTGAGACATGAGGAAATAACCAGTCAGACACAGACAAGTAGATAAGAATAGAAGATAGAAATGGAGGCTTTCCTCAGCTGGTAATAGCAGTGTTGCGAGTACAAAAGTAAAGCAGTCACTATATAACAGGTCACTTTTCCAAATGTGCTATATATTGTACTTGTTATAATCTCAGTAACACAAGTTACAATGAATGAATTTTAGCCCCAGTAAGTTGTGTGTTTTATATTGTCCCTGATGGGAAGTGTGTAGAGTTTAAAAGAGTAATAGTAGCTCAACAACAATAATGAAGCTGTTCAATAAGCTTAATTTTGCATAAGTTTCAGACAGTGTTGTTTGCTGTGTGTGGGCCTGAAGAATGTGGGGGATGTGGGCCTTATCTGGGCCAGATGTAATTTGCTACACTCTAAAAAACGCTGGGTTGGTTTTTTAACCCAATTGCTGGGTTGAGACTGCTGGATAACAATTTTGGGTTGATTTAACCCTATTTGGGTTGAAAATCGGTCTTGATCTATAACCCAGCAGTGCTGGGTTGGGAACAACGACGTGAAAAAGCACGCACGTGACGTCAACGTCCAGACAGGCAGGACATCAGCGTGACCAACCGCCATTTTCTCTGTGCCGTCTTTAGAGGGAAGCAAGCAAAATTCTGTCTGAAGAGTAAGTTATTCGGTGTGTATTTAACAATGGTCATACGAGATAACACGTTAAGTTTACTGTATAATACATATATATATGCTTTTTTTTATCTAACGACTAAAAAGAGACGGCCGTGCTTCGCCCTTGTCGTCTTGACGAGAAAGCGCGCGCCAACATCGTCGTCTGAAGGAGCTTGGAAAAGATAAGGTAAACATTTTAATATTACTTTTGTATATGTTAAAGCTATTGTGTTGGATATGGTTTTGATACAGTGTTCACTTAAGTTATGGGTTAAAATCGGTCTTGATCTGTAACCCAGCAGTGCTGGGTTGGAAACGCATACGTGAAAGAGCGCGCACGTGACGTCACCGTCCAGGCAAGCAGGGACATCAGCGTGAGCAACCGCCATTTTGTCTGCCGTCTTTAGAGGGAAGCAAGCGAAATTCTGTCTGAAAGGTAAGTTATTCGGTGTGTATTTACCAATGTTCATACGAGATAACACATTTAGTTTCCTGTATAATACATATATACGCTTTTTTTTACCTAACGACTAAAAAGAGACGGCCGTGCTTCGCCTCACAGACGACCTTGTCGTCTTGACGAGAAAGGGCGCGCCAACATCGTCGTCAGAAGGAGCTTGGAAAAGATAAGGTGAACATTTTAATATTACTTTTGTATATGTTAAAGCTATTGTGTTTGTACAGGTTCACTTAAATAATTTTGTCAGCATATCCACGTACATTCCCGCTCTGCTTGTAAGGTAACGTTACATTTCGCTGAACTTAAGGGCTGTCAAAATTAAGTTAACTTTAATTGTTTCGTGGATGCAACGTGACCGCCAGTACGTTATTTAAAACACTTCATCTAACCTTACTTAAAACGCAGAGACTGCACAATTTGCTGTGTGTGTGTGTGTGTGTGAACCCCTACTGTGTCGAGATATATCCAGCTGCAAGCCCGGAGAACCACACACGTTTTAGGCACACACAATCTAGGACACACAATTTATGGTTTCCCATTTCATTATGGTTTCCCATTTCAGTCATTATTATTATTATTACATCACGATCATTTTAACATCTCTGCAGTTTCTGAACTCGAATTATGTAAATAAAAATAATTGGTTAAAGACACTTATGACTTTATTCATGTGTTCATATACAAAGAAAACATAGACCGTCTATTTGTTGGATTAAGTGTAATAAACTAATTCAATATCTTACTATAATCATACTTGATTAAAATCACTTTATTGTAAAATATAAAAAGCAAACAATAATATGTCACTTTAAAATAAATTAGCCTACTATAGTTAATAATTTAAACAATATATATATAGTTATAAACTGATTATCATAACTGATTATCTGATTATAATTATAAGTTAATATATAAACTATCTTTTACTAAACTGTCACAGCTGTTTTATATATATATATATATATATATATATATATATATATATATATATATATATATATATATTTATATATACACACACACTTATTTTTTATTATTAATAGTTAATTTGTTCCTATTACTACATTTTGGTTTTAAAAACAATTTTTTGCTTACTATAAATTACTACAGTATTAAATGTGGGAAATCATTAATTAAAAGATTATTAGAAAGTTAAGCAAACAAACACTATTGAATCGCTTGAGTAAAATATTAATATAGTGTTATACATTTGGTACATGTAAAGATTTTTATTACATATAATGTATTATTGCCTATATTAACTTGCTATTATTTCCTTTATCATAAATTAATCCATTATATAAATTAAACCTGTCCAAATTAGATCGTTCAGCAAGGCCAGCAAACGAGTATCTGCTATATTATTGTCAGATAATAATGACTGATCAGATATAATGAATGATTAAAAACTGTTCAGTCTATTATATTGAATGGCGATCGGAAACAATGCTCCCCTTCGGCCGTCTCGATTGCAATATTTGTGAAATAAAGTAAACGCTATTGTTTATTGTGTACAATATTTATTCATCATATATATCAAAATATATCGATGACGATGTTCAAAAAGACGTTAATCACATTAACATCCGTCGTAACCATATATGGTTTGCCTAGATTGTGTGTGCCTAAAACGTGTGGTTCTGCGGGCCTGCAGCTGGATACTATTGACTGTGTCTGTGCGTTTGCTAACGTTAGTCAGTCTTTCTGTGACTGATACAGCAGAACCCCCTCTTTCACTGCTGGAGAAAAGCTGAACGTTAAATTTAATTTCTGCTTCTCTCTCTCTCACTTTCCCCTTTGACCTGCTGTCGTGAGGTTTGTTATCCGGCTGTTACAGCCATTACGTGTGGATTTAAGGCATTTAAATTAGTTGCGTTTTGAATGTTTCTTTCATGATCCCGTTTTACATGTTATATCAAATAATTCGATTAATGTCATTGCGTCATCGCGCTATCCACATTTCCTCCACAGTTTCATGTTAATTTTGGGTGTTTCGTTTTTAGTTTTTCAACTTTAACTGCAGTTTGTCACTTTCACCTTTATTCTGGAACATTTCATCCTTATCACTCGTGACATGAGATATTGGATGCAACTATGAACTGCTTTAAGTGCTGTTTTAATGGAAGTTTATACCGCATGATCAATGGAAGAAAAAAACCCTCCTTTCAACATTTCACAATGCAGGTGTCTGTGGTCTGCACTGACTTGGTAACTTAATTTACTACTAACATGTTATTTCTTAAATCATGTAAATGGTTTGATGCAGGCGGGAATCCCTGAGCTCAGTTCAGGCTAAAAAAAGAGTTGAAACTAAGCATGTTCGACAGCTGTTTCTTAAACACCACACCAAGAACAGTTAGAATCATTTAGGAGCTTTTCCTTTTTAATAAAATGCATTTTGAATGACACATTATCTTTTTCTATGTAGGTAATGGCAGCAAGTACTGTGATTAGTGATCTTTCTGAGGTGTAAACTGTAAAACAGTAGTATTTTTACTGTTGTGCTCCTTAAATTTATTCAATTAATTTTTTTAGGTCATTTTTGTAATAATGCATAAGTGTTAAATTCAGCTTCTCTTTTTTTTCTTTTTCTTTTTTGGTCAGAACATACTTAAAGTATTTCCTTCTATGCTTCTACAGCTGTTCATTGAATAGCAAATGTTATTCATTTACTAAGAGCATATTACATTCTACAGACATCATTTGACTTATCTTTAATTAATCCTGTACGTATGGTTAGTTTAATGCAGATGGGAATGTCTGAGCTCAGACTAAATCCAACCTAATCATCTTCGATCCCCAAAAAGAAAAGTTTGACTTCCATCTTTTGTGACACCCTGGATAATTATGATCACTTAGGAGTATTTTTGTGATAAAGTGACTTGTGGCTGAGATTATCTTTTTTACTTTATTAATATTTTGCTAAAATGCTTTTATCTGTTGTTTATTTCAGATGGATGAATACGTAAAAAACAAATTAATAGAATGATTTGAAGGTATGTAATAATATTTTACTTGGTTCATTGTAATCATTAGGGCTGCTCTGTGTAAAGATTTGTTTGTTTGACTTGTGATGTTCATTTGAAGAATTATTTGAATAATTACACATTTATTTATAAACCATTTAAATCATAATTAGTCTTTAATTGTCCACATTGCCTATTTTACAAGGCAAATATACATAGTTTTGGATTGGGCAGAAAGCCCATCCTGTTACTTACAGTATTTACAAAGTGCAGTGTTGTTTTTATTGTGAGTGCACACAGAAATGTAGTGTCTTCACATATCTTCAAAGGCTGTATTACTGTTATCTAAATGACCAAACATGGCAAAGAATTTAAAGAGCAAGTTACCACAAAGGTGCTGATATGCTTTCACACTCTGCACAGACATTTCCATTGTGCACATATTTCTACAGTAGCATTAGATTGAGCAGCCATGTAAAGTTGCTACTATATTGCCATAGCTTATTTGAGGCCGATAAGAGCATTCGAAAATTCTGCCTGATGTAGCTACTTACTTACTTACTTGCCACAGAAAGTTAAATATATCTAACTTCCTGTTAGGTTTGAGATTCCGCTCCAAGAGACTTTTTTTTGTTGATTTTGGCTTGTTTGAGGTGTGTGCCAACTTTCGTATGCATGCGTGATTCGTAGCTCGTTAATCGAAGTAATCAAATGTTTACAGTCTTTAAATCTTTGGCTCAAAGTCAAGTCAGTTTCATTTCAGTGGAATTTTATACGATACAGATCAAAACAGCTTTATATTGATAGTGAATGCAGCAAACTATATGGCTTGTAAGTTTACCATGAATTGATTTAGCACTGGGTACCAGTTAGGAATTATTTTCTTTAAATGAGAACGCCACTTCCAACTTTTGTATTTTTTAGTTGTATGAGACAAAAATACTTTTGGACAGTAATAAATTTTTTGAAGCAATATTTGTTTTACACAAAGCTGATTGTACATGAACAATTACTGTTTATGGTTATCTGCATAAAATACTTTTATGTTCTGCATATTTTGTCTTACAGCTGAGAAGATTGATCAAGAAACCCTCCTTCTTTTAGATGATGTCACACTGACTTCTCTTATCCCTATTATTGGACTTCGTTTAAAATTCAAGAAGTACCTCAAGAACGTGCTTGATGTAAGTAAAAGGTATTAGGTGTACACAACATGGGGTACATTTGCTTTAAATGCAAAAGGTCTTTGGGATCTGACGTCAGAGCATTTTTTTCACATTTGAGAGTTGCACATCATGTCTATTCTACATCCACATACTTTCAGTGTGCTCAAGCTGGATGTAATCGCACATTCAGTATTATTAGATCATTTAGAAGACACCTACTGCAGCATGCTAATGAAATTGGCAATGAAATGGAGGAAGCCCCTTTGGTTGAGCCTGAAAACTATTCATCAGATTCAGTTTTAGAGGCTGTTGAACAGAGTGATGAGGAGCATGATGACATTTCTGATGAACAATGTGATGAGTTTCAGGAGGAAAATATAAGAGACAGGGTAGCATTGTTTTTAGCAAAATTAAGGTCAAATTCCTCCCAGACATTGAGTGCTGTTAATTGTGTGGTAGAGCACACATCTAGCCTTGTCAGTGATGTTGTTGGATCCCTACAAAGAAAAACAGCCTCTTTTTTAAGAGACATAGGCCACCTTGACAGTCCTGAGAGCCAGATTTTTTTAGAAAATTTTGCAGTGGCAGCTCAACCATTTCAGGGCTTTGAGTCAGAGTACAAGCAAAAGCAGTACTTTACACAGTCTGGATGCTTTGTTCATCCAAAAGAAGTGCCTTTCCCTGGTGTCTCATACACCCAAAAGAGAGACACATTGACGGGGATTGTAAAACAAGTGGCAGTCCAAGATACGTTTCAGCTAATTCCTTTAAGGCCTTTGCTAAAGCTGGTTTTAGAAAGTCCAGGGACAATGGACAAGATCTTTGAATGGCAAAATCAAGAGAGCACTGCACTGCAAGATTTTAGAGACGGCACAATCTTCAAATCCAGTGAACTGTTTTCCAAAGAGTTATCCATTCCTCTTGTACTGTACAACGATGAATGTGAGATGGTAAACCCACTTGGATCAAAAACTTCAGTTCACAAGCTAGGCTTTGTTTATTTTACTCTTAAATGCTTGCGACCTGAGTTTCTCTCCAGCCTAAACTCTCACTTCTTGTTGGCAGTGTACAAGACAGATGACATAAAAACTTATGGAATAAATGCTGTCTTAGATCCAATTGTGTCTGAGATTAAGGATCTGGAATTGGAAGGAGTTCAGGTTGACACAAAACATTTCAAGGGTACTATTAAAGCAAGCGTTGCACAGGTTTGTGGGGATAACCTGGGTCTTAATTCCATCCTAGGCTACACAGAAAGTTTCTCAGGGAAAACTGTATGTCGATGGTGTCGCGTTCATAAAGAGGTTTTGAGAGAACAGACAGTTGAGGACCTGTCAGTGATGCGCAACAGGATAAACTATCACTCTGATTTACTTCAGAATAACCCAACTGAAACTGGCATTAAAAGAGCGTGTTCGCTCAATAAACTGCAGTTCTACCATGTAACTGACAATGTAACTCCTGATGTCATGCATGACATTTTGGAAGGAGTTGGAGGTTACGAAATCAAGCTTGTTCTTAATTCTCTGATTGAACAAAAACTCTTAACACTCGATCAACTGAATAATAGACTTACAAGCTTTGATTATGGTTTTTCTGATAGTCGCAATAAGCCATCTGTTATCAAGCCTCAGGATCTTAAAAATCCGGATGGGGCCATGAGACAAACAGCAGCACAGATGTGGTGCCTTCTAAGGTTGCTCCCTCTTATGATAGGGGATTTGATTCCAGAAGGCGAGAGACACTGGGAACTAATACTTTCATTACTTAACTGTATGGAGTTGATTTTCTCTCCAGCCTTAACTGCAGAGGCAGTTACATTTTTGCAGCATTTGATTGAGGAACACCATAGTCTGTTTTTGGAGCTTTATCCAGACAGGCATTTGAAGCCAAAGCACCACTTCATGCTTCATTATCCTGGGGCCATCAGGAAACTTGGACCGTTGGTTCATTTCTGGTCCATGCGTTTTGAGGCAAAACATGGATTTTTCAAAAGACTAAGTCATGTAACCTGCAATTTTCGGAACATTTGTAAAACACAGGCTTTCCGACATCAGATGATGTTGTGCTACACCCTGATGTCTGAGAAAATGTTCTCACATGACTTTGAAGTTGGTCCAGGATACACCACACTCCTGGCATCTATAGACGATTTTGAAAAAGTGAAACATGGATTTGAGGGAATCCCTTTGTTCTCAGAAGTCTATTTACCATCTTGGATTAAGTACAAGGGAGCAACCTATAGGCCAGGAATGACACTTTTTGTATCTCACTCTGCTGATGGTGAGCCCCAGTTTGCAACCATTAGGAATGTTGTGCTCTTTGACTCCAAGATCAAATTCGTTGTGAAAAAATGGGACACAGTTGGATTGGACAGGCATTATTTTGCCTTCTCTGTGTCTCCTTCTGTGCTTGATTCGGTGGACATTCACACTGTTGAAGATCATCACCCCCTTCATGTTGTGATGTCCTTACAGGACGATGAGAACGTTCGAGGTTACTAAAGTAACCCTTCGTTCCCCGAGGAGGGGAACGGAAGCACTATAAGTGGATTTGATTGTAAAATCCACGCATTGGGGGAGGTTCGGTTCAGAAGCTACTCGTCTGAAAGAGTATTGAACGGGCCAATTAAGAATGAATTGGCAGCGCAAGCCTGCGCAGGTGAGCGGCATAAGCAATCAACTGAGTATATAAGCTCACCTGGCGCAGCAGACGCTATCCTTTTTAAGCTGAAGAGACTTTCAACAGCTAAGGGACAGTCATTATGGCGACGGAGTATAGTGCTTCCGTTCCCCTCCTCGGGGAACGAAGGGTTACTTTAGTAACCTCGAACGTTCCCCTTCGGGGGGAACTTCAGCACTATAAGTGGATTTGATTGTAAAATCCACGCATTGGGAGCCCATTGAAAGCGCCACAATGACTGCACCTTACCAACACCCCCGATGAGGAGATAGTCAAGCAAGCGTGACGCACCCACATCATGGGGGGCGCGGTCCTCCAACGTGTCCCTGGCCCTAATTTATCCTACTTCAACAGAAGTTTTACGGATTTATATATATTTTTTGGGAAGTCGTGAGCATCTAGATAATTCTAGGAAAATACGACAGTACGTTGGGAAGCGTGCAATCCCGATAGGGAGGACGCTGCGAAGGCCATCCGTTACCCAAGGGGGGATAGATGGCAGAATTTACATATGGACTAGCCCTAAAAGGGGGAGTACGCATAGCAAAAGAGTGGTTAGCGGGGAGGGAAGACACGGGTCTGCCCGGGGGGGGGGGGGGAGGGGGGGGACTTAACCGTGGCTGAATAAGCATATGGGATCGCCTAGTGGGGACCACGCATAGCAGGCACCTTTACCCAAAACGCGGGCTGACCAGCGGGCAGACCTACAACGTAGTGGGCCAGCAAGTGACTCCTCCGCTGAGTCAGTGCTGGGGGCCACGGAGGAATCTGCAGGGCTCACCTGACGGGGAACTTTACTGACAGATAAAAAGGCGCACGTATCTCCGTGTTAGGGAAAATGGCGCAGCAAGCATGTTTCAACACCCTACCGAATTGTTTCCTCAATCACCAAGGGTTACCTAATACCCTTGAGGAAACCGACTCCACTCGCAGATTGTAAAACCTTGCAAATGTGTTGGGTGTCACCCAGCCCGCAGCTCTACAGATGTCTGTTAGAGGGGCGCCGCGTGCGCGCGCTCGAGAGGATGCGAAGCTCCGAGTGGAGTGCGCACGCGCTCTCGGGGGACGCGGCTCATCTCGGCTCTGATAGTGAAAGAAAGGCATCCACAATCTAGTGGGAACTTATTTCGGTACGGCACTTCCCTGCTGCCGACCGCTATAACAGACGAAGAGCTGCTCAGATGATCTAAACTCTGAGTGCGGTCCGGATAATACGCAAAACGCGAACTGGACAATAAATAAGGGCTGGGTCTGCCTCCTCCGAGGGCAGCGCTTGCAGGCTCACTACCTCGTATTAAAACGGAGTGGTAGGAACCTTGGGCACATATCGCGGGCGGGGTCTCATACGTGAGAGAAGCCAGCCCAATTACAGGCACGAGTCACTGACCGAAAAATGCCTCCGGGTCTCCGACCCTCTAATCGATATCAACGCGACCAGCAGAGCTGTCTTCAGGGACAGAAATATACTGAGTCGAGGATCGAAGGGATCTGACGCGGCTTGTGTAGCGAGGGCGAGATCCTAAGAGGGCATGAGAGGGGGCGGAGTGGATTAATTCGCTTAACGCCCCTGAGGAACCGGATGATGAGGTTATGCGTTCCCACGGTGCTGCCAGCCACCGCGTTATGAGAGCGGAGATGGCAGCCACGTAACCTTGAGTGTGGAGGGCGACAGCCTGCTCTCCAACTTCTCTCGGCGTAAAGAAAGCACAACGCTGATCTGGCAAATTACGGGGGTCTTCTCAGCGAGAGACACACCATTCAGTGAATAGACTCCACGTCAGGGCATAGGCGCGCTCGGGGAGGGGGCTCTAGCCCGAGTGACGGTATTAGCCACCGCAATCGGAGGTTACCTAAGTCTTCCTCGCGTCTAAAAATCTCTTCAAAGATCGGCGAGGGTGCCAGGTGGTGCCCTGTCCCTGAGAGAGTAGGTGCTCTCTCGAAGGGACTGCCAGGGGAGGGCTATCGCGAGGGAGAGCTCTGACATCCAGGTCCGGTTGAGCCAGAGGGGCGCAACCAGCAACCTGTTTCTCGTCCTCCCTGACCTTGCACAGTAACTGCGCGAGCAGGCTCACTGGGGGAAACGCGTATTTGCGCGTGCCCCGAGGCCAGCTGTAAGCCAGTGCATCCGTGCCGAGAGCACTCGGTCAGGGAAAGAACAACTGGCAATGAGCGATCTCGGGGGAAGCAACAGATCGATCTGGGCTTCCCCGAATCGCGCCCATATCAGCTGAACAGACTCGGGGTGGAGTCTCCATTCTCCAGGACGCAAGGCTGCCGTGAGAGCGCATCGGCTGCACGGTTGAGCTTGCCTGAATATGAATGGCGTGCAGCGATTTCAGCCGCGGATGACTCCAGAGGAGCAGACGGCGGGCGAGCTGAGACATGCGGCGAGAGCGCATACCCCCTATACGGCTGATATACGCCACCGCCGCCGTACTGTCCGTCCTGACCAGCACGTGTTGCCGCTCCAGCACCGGAAAAAAACGGTGGAGAGCGAGGAACACTGCCAACAGCTCCAGGCGATATGCCAATGCAACTGGGTACCTTTCCACAGGTCCGCAGCCGCATGCCCGCAACGCACAGCCCCCCAGCCCGTGTTGGAAGTGTCTGCTGAAACGACAACAAGACTGGACGCCTGTTCTAGAGACACCCAGGCCTGTAGGAACGAGGGGTCGCTCCAAGGGCTGAGGGCGCGGCGACACAGCGCAGTAACAGAGACTCGGTGTGCGCGCGCGTGCCATGCGCGTCTGGGGACTCGATCGTGAAGCCAGTGCTGAAGTGGTCTCATATAGAATAATCCGAGCGGCATGAAGCGGCTGCGGATGCCATAAGCCCCAGGAGCCTCTGAAATAGTTTCAGTGGGACCACTATTTTACTGTCGAGCTCTCTCAGACAGTACAGCATCAGCTGAGCGCGCTCTCCGGAGAGGCGCGCTGCCATGGTGACCGAGTCCAGCTCCAGCCTGAGAGAAGAGATCCTCTGCACGGGGGCGAGTTTGCTCTTTTCTCGGTTGACCTGAAACCCCCACAGGTGGAAGTGCCAGAGCACTTTGTCTCTGTGCATAATCAACTGCTCCGAGAGAGGGCAAAAATCAGCCAGTCGTAAAGAAATTGAGTATGCAGATGCCCGCGAGCCGAAGGGGCACTGAGGCACCCTCCGCGGGCTTGGTGAGGACCCGCGGAGACAGAGAGAGCCCGAAGGGGAGGGCTTTGTATTGCCAAGCTCGACCTTCAAACGCAAACCGCAGAAACTGTCGGTGGCGAGGAAGAGTGGAGACATGGAAATACGCGTCCATCAGGTCTAATGCTGCAGACCAACCCAGAGGACGAACGCACCGGAGGATGTGCTTCTGCGTGAGCATTCTGAACGGCAGCTTGTGCAGACAGCGGTTCAAAACGCGCAGATCTAGTATTGGCCGTGACCCACCGCTCTTTTTGGGCACGATGAAGCGTGGGCTGTAAAACCCGCTCTCCATCTCGGCTGGAGGGAGCGGCTCGATTGCATCCTTCGCCAGGAGGACAGCAATCTCCTCTCGCAAGACAGGGGCGGACAGGGGGCTGACCCTGGTGAATACACACCCGTGACTTGGGGGGCCGTTTCGCGAACTGAATCGCATAGCCGAGTCTGATTGTGCGTATGAGCCACCGCGAAGAGCTGGCCCGCGCTAACCAGGCAGGCAGAGCTCTCGCTAATGGACTCATCGCTACAATCGCTGACGTACCAGCAGTGGGGCAGCGCGGAGTGGGTGTGCTGATCCGGGAAGCTCGCGGGTCCCACGGAAAAGCTGGAGGTGAGATATTTGCTCTCACTCCAAACCCGAGCTCCGGAGGGGAGGCTCGAGGGGTGGGAGAAAGGAGACCGTCCTCCCAGCGCTTGTGAGCCACTGGCGAAACGCACCGAATCTGCAAGCTAGAAAGCATAGCGTCCCAGACTGGCAGATTTCGGGCTGTCACATCTGGGGAAGTGAAAAGTGCCCTTTCATAATGTTTTCATGGCAGTAAAAAGTGCCGTTGGAAATGGGGCCCCGCCCTCCAGCGGGGAAAGAGCAAGTTCCCTTTTCTCCAGATGGCCTGTCCCAGGGGCGCTTCGCGGTCCGTTGCCGGACTTAGCGGCGTTCTGGGCAGGGGGGCTGCCTGCTTCCGAGGTGCCCGACGCGCTCGCTTCGCCGGAGGCGTGTGCGGGGGCGAAGCAGCTCTCGTAGGCGGGCGCCTTCGGCGAGGAGCAGGTATGAATGGCACGGCGGGCGGAGCGGGCTACGGACCGCCGATAAGACATCACCCATCAACTGCTCTCTCACCGCCTTGAATTCCTGGGTGAATTCACAGACAGTGTCGCCGAACCTGGCTGGGGATATGGGGGAAGTCAAGAAAGCGGACTTTGTCGACTTTGCGCATATCAGCCAGGGGTGGCGCTCCTGGACCACTAATGTGGACATCGTCCTCCCCAACGCACACGCAGCGGACTCAGTAGTCCGAAGAGCTAAGTCGGCGGCGGTGCGAAGCTCGTAAGCCTGGGTTGGACCCACCCTCGTGCTGCTCGGCCAGCGCCTGCGCTTGGTAGCGCTGGTAGGTGGCTATCGCATGCAAGGCGGAAGCAGCCTGGCCCGCAGCTATGTAAGCTCTAGCTCCGAGGGAGGTAGATAACTTACAGGCTTTGGATGGGAGACGAGGCGGACCCCGCCAAGAAGAGGCGCCGCGCGGATTTACCGCCATCGCGCACTCAACCTGAGGAATCGCCACATACCCCCTGGCTGTTTCACCGTCAAGAGTGGTTAGGGTGGAGGAACACGCAGCACGAGCAGAAAAAAGTGCTTTACAAGACCGCGTGAGCCTACTGTGCACCTCCGGGAAGAAGGGAACGCCCCTCTAGTCGGTCCGGCCGCGGAGCTGGGGGATAAACCATCTCCAACCCACGGCCGAAGCAGCCCGGGAAAGCACGGCTAACATGTCCGTTTCAGGATCCGTAGTGACAGCGCTCACCAGCCCGAAGGGGGCGAGCGGG